CTCCCCCTCACCTTCTCCATGGTGTGCCGCAGCGTGCAGGGGTCCTCGATGATGTGCCGGAAGAGCAGGGTGACGAGCGGCGTGAAGCCGGTGAAGCCGGAGCTCTGCGTCAGCGCCAGGATGGTGCGGGTGGAGCGCAGCTCGGCGAAGAGCAGCGCGTGCTTGTGCTGCCGCGTCAGGCGCAGGCACAGGCGCAGCGTGGCGTGCAGCGTGTCGGGGTCCACGGGTACCCCCAGCATGCTGACGCACGCCCGCAGCACGGCCGGCACCGCCTCCTCCGCCAGGCCCCGCACCGGAGCCTCGGCGTCCGCCTCCTCCCGCGGCTCCTCGGGGGTCGGCGTGGGGCACGGAGGGGATGGGCAGGGGGCGGCGGCGGTGCTGCTGGTGGTGGTGGTGGTGGTGGTGGTGGTGGTGGTAGGGGTGGAGGGGGGGTCTTCCTCTGTAGAAGGGGGGTCTGGAGCTGTGGGGATGGGGAAAGGGGGGAGGAGGGTGGTTTTGGGGGGTGGCACCCGCTTGTGGTCCCTGTGACCCCCCCCAATGACCATTCTGATCCCACCATGACCATTCTGACCCCCAGTGACCATTCTGATCCCCCTCATGACCCCCTAATGGCCATTCTGACCCCCAGTGACCATTCTGACCCCCAGTGACCATTCTGATCCCACCATGACCCCCCCATGGCAATGCTGACCCCCAATGACCATTCTGATCCCCCCATGACCCCTGTGACCCCCCTCATGGCCATTCTGACCCCACTGTGACCTCTGTGACCCCCCCCATAGCCTCCATGACCTGCCATGACCATTGTGACCCCTTCATGACCCCCCAAAACCCCTCAGACCCCTCCCATAACTCCTCAGACTCCCTGCAAAACTCCTCCAACCTGCCCATGACCCCTCAGACCCTCCCCAGAACCTCTCAGACTCCCCAAAACCCCTCAGCCCCCCCCCAGCCCCATACCGGGGGTCTCGTCCTTGCCCTTCCCCTCGGGGTCCTCGGTCCCCCCCTCGTCGCGGCCCTTCCCGGCCCGGGGGGGTCTCAGCAGCGTCAGCATCACCGGGCGCCGGTTCCCGGTCTCCTCGTTCACCTGGGGACACCGGAGGGGACAGGGGTGACACTGGGGCCCCTCCCCACGGGGTGACACCAGGGGTGTCCCTCTGCCATCGGGGGATTCCCCATCCCACGAGGTGACACCAGTGGGGTGTCCCCTGCAGTGGGTGACACTGGGGCTGTGTTCCCCTGTCCTGGATGGCCCCAGGGGACTGTCCCCTACCTTCAGGGCTGTGTCCCCATGCCCTGGGTGACCCTGGGCTGTGTCCCCAGGCCCTGGGTGACCCCAGGCCGTGCCCCCATGACCCCCAGCCCATGCCCTGCCACTCACCTGCACCATGGTGGTAAACTGGATGGCACAGTGCCATGTCCCCACACCCCAGGGCTGTGTCCCCATGCCCCGGGGCCGTGTCCCCATGCCCCGGGGCCGTGTCCCCATGCCCCTGGGCCGTGTCCCCATGCCCCTGGGCCGTGTCCCCATGACCCTGGGCCGTGTCCCCACGCCCCAGGGCTGTGTCTCCATGCCCCTGGGCCGTGTCCCCATGACCCAGGGTTGTGTCCCCATGACCCAGGGCTGTGTCTCCATGCCCCTGGGCCGTGTCCCCACGCCCCCCAGCCCGTGCCCAGCCCCTCACCTGCACCATGGTGGTGAACTGCACGGTGTAGCGCCGCCGGCCGGCCGTGAAGCGCACGCTGGGCTCTCCGGCGCGCCACGCCGCGTCGATGGTGCTGTTGTTGCTGGCGCTGTAGCTGCACCAGCGGCCCGAGCGGTCGTCGAACCAGCGCCAGTTGTTCCCAGTGGCCTGCAGGTACTGGGGGGGCACGTGGGGAAAGGGGGTTCAGCAGCCTGGAGCTCCTCGTGTGCCCCCCAAACCCCGCTCGGGGTGGCACCGGGTGTGGTGGGGTGGTGAGGTCACCGTCCCCATCGCAGGGATGCTGTGTTCGCCAGGACCCCGTGTGTCACCCCAAACCCTGTGTGTCACCCCCTGTGTCCCCCAGGACCCTGTGTCACCCCTTGTATCCCCCAGGACCCTGTGTGTCCCCCCTTGTGTCCCCCAGGACCCTGTGTGTCCCCCCTGTGTCACCCCTTGTGTCCCCCAGGACCCTGTGCGTCACCCCCGTGTCCCCCAGGACCCTGTGTCACCCCCTGTGTCCCCCAGGACCCTGTGTGTCACCCCCGTGTCCCCCAGACCCTGCGTGTCACCCCTTGTGTCCCCCAGGACCCCGAGGCCCCACCCCAGCACCCTGTGTGTCACCCCTTTGTCACCCCCGGCTCTGTCTATCACCCCCTGTGTCACCTCCTGTGTCCCCCCCAGTGTCACCCTGGCTGCTCCAACCCCACCCAGCCCCACTGTGTCCCCCCAGAATCCCCCCCCATGTCCCATCCCAGCCCCCCCAAACCCCCCAGGACCCCCCAAATTTCCCCCAGCCCCCCACCTTGTTCATCTGCGCCCGGCGCTTGGAGGACACGGCCGTCTTCTCGTAGAAATCAATCAGCAGCAGCACAGGGGTGATCCACCTTTTTTTGGGGGGGCAAAAGAGCCGTGAGAGCATCCTGGGGGGAGTTTTGGGGTGGTTCTGGGGGGCTCTGCGAGGGGTCACTCCTTACTTGGGGGTCTGCACCTCCTTGTGCTCCTTGGCAGCCTGCAGGCAGGGCTGCACCACCTCCAGCAGCTTGATCAGCACGTCCAGCACGCAGCTGGACTCCACCACACGGGCACAGGGCAGCTTCAGCTCCTGAGGAGGGTCGGGGGCACCCCCAAAAAACATCAGCACCCCAAAATATCCACCAAAACACCCCCAAAATCCTGAGCAAAATACCCAGAAACAGCCCCGAAATAGCCACAGAAACAGCCCCAAACCAGCACACGAGCTGGACCCCACCATGGGGTGCTTCAGATCCAAAAACATCAGCATCCCCCAAAAACATCCCAAACACTCCCAAAATACCCTCAAAACTCCCCAAAACCACCCCAAATCTCAGGATTTTTGGAAAAATGAGCCACCTCCAGAAAACAGACAGCATGTTTTGTGAGGCCCAGGGACCCTGGGATGCTCCCCACAATTTTTTGGGTGCCTCCCCAAGGTTTTGGGTTGCCCCTTCCAGGTTTTGGGGTTACTGCCCCAAGTTTTGGGGTTCTCACAGGTTTTTAGATCCCACCTAAAACTTTAGCTCATTCCCCCCCCACCCCCCACCCCATTTTTTGGGGTCACTCCCCAGGTTTTGGGTTACCCCCCTCAGGTTTTGGGGTCACTTCCCAGGTTTTGGGTTACCCCCCCCTCAGGTTTTGGGGTCACTCCCAGGTTTTGGTGTCACTCCCCAGGTTTTGGGGTCACTCCCCAGGTTTTGCATTACCCCTCTCAGGTTTTGGGGTCACTCCCCAGGTTTTGGGGTCAC